AATATACTATAGGTTCTAAGGGACAATACTCTCTGATGGATATGTTGGAGTAGCCTATCTGCATATCTATTTTATGAATTAAAAAAAAAAAATCCATACAGAAATCTGGCTTCCACCGACTTACTTTTTCTATCCATCACAACTTATGGCCCAAGTCAAGTAAACTAAATAGCGCTTATTTTAATTATGGATTTTTTAGCACCTTGTTAGTAAAAATTATTTTGGGCTTAGATTGATAGTAACTAAGCAAAATTTTAAACGAACAATTTAAACAGAAAATCAAACGATTGTGTAAAGGTTCTAAATGCCTTGAAAGTACAAGGACTTTTCTGAAACAATTAACAGTCGAAAGAGTGAAGTATCCAAATAAACAAAGATAACTCCAGACGAAATTATCTACGTTTACAAGAATTACAAGTCACAAATTACAGAGAAAACTATTCCTAAATTAGGATAATATACTCTTAACAAAAAAGGTAGACTACTCCTAAAGATAAAGAGAAAGGGGAAAAAAAAAAAAAAACTATGATAAACTTAATGATTTGTTGATCCCCTTTTCTGCTTGCATCTCTTTGTCTATTTATAATCAACACCCAAAGCTTCTTTCAGCAAGAATTGCTAGGTACTTTCTCCTTCAATATAGTCACGTTTGCCACTTCCTCCATAAAGCCACGTTTGCCACCTCATGCATGCTCCATTACTCCTCTTTGGAACCAACATTCCATCATGTTGCTATTTTTCTCAATTCATGTCACGATCAACTAATTGATTACATTCTGCACTAGACAAAAATAACAATAATAATAAATATAAATATAACTATATGTAGCCATTACTTTATATTAAAAATAATCTATGGTTCAAATTGACATATCAAAATTCACAGGTCACAATTAATAAAATTAGATTTGGCCATATTTGACAAGCCACATTGAATTAAACTAAATTTGGCCATAGTGGATAGGCCATAATCGACAGAAAAACAATTTATGGTTCACTGCCTTTTCTTTCTAAGGCAAGGCTGAACTTCACAAGCATTGCTATGTGTTTCTCATGAATTGTTGACCTATATCGACATGCCATCTTGCCATTTACAACCACTAAATGCCCTCTGAAAATTGGCCCATCATTCAACTGCTCGTAACTGATCCACTGATTGTTTTCACCACATTGCACATACTATGGCCCAGGAAGTAAAACATCTTCAAGCTTTTTTGCCACATATCATAAGCAACTTTTCACTCCCTATCGACAAAACAATTACAAAAATGGGTGCAAACAATGCCCCTCTAACTCTTTAAGAATGAGACTTACTCGAATTCTTGAAGAGTTATAAAATCAAAATTAAATCGATGGTAACCCTTTCAACAAACAAACATATATAAAATATATGCCTTGGGCCAAGAAGTCTGACGGTCAATGACCATATATATTCCAAAGTAGACAATTTATATATTTTATAACACTTTTGTTTAATACTGCTAAATGTATATATTTCCAAACAATGTTGGTTGATTAACCATTTTGTTAGAACCAAATATTTGTGTGATCCATATATTCAAAAAATATTTTGAATAACAAAAGTCATAAATGGCTTTAAAAACTCATACATGTTGACATCTTGAACAATGTCAAAAAATTTAAATTCATGAACATATGGTTGTTCATCATTTTCAACCATATTTGGCTTAAGATCACATTTCTTTGTTTCACACATTAATGGGTTAGAAACATTTTTTGAAAATCCAGAAAATATTTCTTCTTTGTGAAATTGCCTCCCTACCATGGAATTCTTATTCTCATGGCCTTTTGTTTTTGCAACCATGACAATTGATGGAGTAACAACACCAATATTTGAAGGTATCTTGTGGACCTCTACCCTTTTCTGGCATTGCCCTCTAGAAATATTATCAATAACACTTCTTAACTCACCAACCAACACTTGTTTTTTCTCAACTGAAAGAGATGCAAGAGCCTCCTTTAATTGTAAAACCAAACTGCTACTAGGCAGTGCAGAAGGGCCACTCGTTTGGCTTTGGTGCCTCATCCTTTCCATTGTTCCAAATTAGGATGTGGTCCCATTGGACGTGCCAAAAATTGTTAATAAAAATTATGCTGGGCTTAGATCGACAGCAACCAAGCAAGAATTTTAAATGAACAATTTAAACAGAAAATCAGACGATTGTGTAAAGGTTCTAAATGCCTTCAAAGTATAAGGACTTCTCTGGAATAATTAACAATCGAAAGAGTGAAGTACCCAAATAAACAAAGACAACTCTAGACAAAATTATCTAAGTTTACCAAAATTACAAGTCACAAATTACAGAGAAAACTAATCCTAAATTAAGATAATATACTCCTAAGAATTAAGGTAGATTACTTCTGAAGATAAAGAGAAAGAAAAAAACTATGATAAGTTTGATGATTTGTTGATCCCCTTTTCTGCTTGCATCTCTTTGTCTATTTATACTCAACACCCAAAGCTTCTTTCGACAAGAACTGCTAGGCAATTTCTCGTCAAATATAGTCACGTTTGCCACTTCCTCCATAAAAGCCACGTTTGCCACCTCATGCATGCTCCACTAGTCTTTTTTGGAACCAACATTCCATCACGTTGCTGTTTTCCTCAATTCATGTCATGATAAACTAATTGATTATATTCTGCACTAAACAAAAATAACAATAATAATAAATATAAATATAAATATAAATATATGTGGCCATTACTTTATATTAAAAATAATCTATAGTTCAAATTGACATATTAAAATTCACAGATCACAATTAATAAAATTAGATTTGGCTATAGTTGACAAGCCACAATCAATTAGATTAAATTTGGCCATAGTCGATAGGCCACAATCGACAAAAAAACAATTTATGGTTCACTGCATTTTCTTTCTAAGGCAAGACTGAACTTCATAAGCACTGTTATGTGTTCCTCATGAATTGTTGACCCATATCTACAAGCCATCTTGCCATTTACAAGCACCGAATGCCTTTTGAAAATTGGCCCATCATTCAACTGCTTGTAATTGATCCACTGATTGCCTTCACCACATTGCACATACTTTGACCTAGGAAGTAAAACACCTTTAAGCTTCTTTGCCATATGTCATAAGCAACTTTTCACTCCCTATCAACAGAAGAATTACAAAAATGGGTGCAAACACACCTCTTATAAATATTGTAAATATTTCATGAAATATATTTATATAAAAAAATATGTGTGAGACCTAGAAAATTATCTCACATAGATTTTTGAAGATCCAACGAAGAGATGAATTTGACTCTTGTAAATTTGCAAAGATAAACATAGTCAGCGCTAGTCAACCGGGGTTGCCGACCGGGGACATTTCGATGATGAAGTTAGCAACTTGAATCAAAAAAAGAAGATGAAGAAATGAAGAGTGATTGTGTGCTACGTTTGTAGAGAGATTATGCATACCTCTATTCCATGGGATGCTTTCCTTTTATAGATGTGGGGTGTGATATTTGCTTAGTAAATATTTGTTTGATGGGCTTTCTTGTTAGTCTTGACCCATTTTTAAGACTTATTTGGATTGGATCCAAATAAGTTAATATTTTTTCTAGGCTCGTACAATATATGATCTTTTCAATTTTTTTAACATATATTTTAAGGATCACACATTAATAAATTTTGTTAATTATTATTAGTCTTAAGATTTAGGAGTTACTATTGGGAAAAATCAAAGCTTTACAAAGCTTGATGCATAAGTTCAATGTAGCCTTTTCTTTTCTATTCTTCTTTTGTTGATTGAAAAAAGATAATCTTTCATTACTATTATTTTTATGATTATTTATGATGAAACATTAATCAGTGGTGTGAGTGATGTGAATTTGGATCTAGAAGAAGGATGAATAGTGGACAATTATTGTTTTGTTTTCCAATTTAGTTAATTAGAGAGAGATATTACAAAAATTATATATTCGCATTTCAATTTTTTTTGTTCATTAAACTTTGACTCAAAAAAAGTGTGCAAAATAAATAAATATAAAGAATGAAGGGAGATTTTTTTACCTTTTTTTTATAGCAAGTGTTCAATTTCTAATGAATGTCTTCTAAATGAAAAATACATAAAATATAATTTATCTAAAAATAAGTGAATAAAATACAATACATGACTGATTTAAAAATATAAACTCTACTTAAAATTGTATATTGTTACTATTTTACTATTCAACAATGATTCATCCCCTTTTTCTTTCCACCTTCTTTAACTCCCTCTCTCTCTTATTGGTTACATTTTTTTTTTTTTTTTTTTTCTTTTTTTTCTTACTCCTCCAATCACCACCCGCCACGTAACAAAAGGGGGCGAGAGATGACCCGAAAGAGGGTCCAAGCATTATTCCTTACTATTTTGTAGTACTCAAGCTAGCTAGCATCACACCTTTTGAAAGGGCGGGGCGGGGCTACCAATTGACGCAAATGCCACGTGTTTTTGACACCGGAGATCCAGTCAACGGCATCACAACAGCATTGAGTGTGTTCAAGGCTTTAAAAGCCGGTTTGGTATTTTTGCTTTCAAATAATTTTTTTAGATTTTTTATTTTTTCATTTATTTTCTTTTATCCAAGAAAAGGAAAGTAAAACAAATAAAAATCACAATAAAAGGTATACGTTTTTTTTGACTGGTTATATTACGTGGTGTTTTGAGAAATTAATAAAAAATTGATTTTTTAATTTTTTGTGATTTTTTAACATTTTTATGTTAAAAAAGCTAATTTTTTTTTTATGATCTTTTATGTAAAAAAAAATTAAAAAATTAAAAAATTAACCTTTTTTTAAAAAAGTTTCCAAAACACCCCTATGTGTATATTTAAGTCCCCACCACTTTTGCGAGTAAAATGTTCATACTTTTTGTTCACAACTTTTTTTTCCCAATTAATCGGTATTCTTCAAGTAAATTCAGGCAATATCAACGCCTTCCAAATAAAATAATATATATATATATATATTGAGAAAGAAACCCTTTCAAACTCTTCGGTCCCGTCCAAATCCAATCCAACCAAAATCCCCATCATTCTCATCAATACCTATCTAATATCTCCACCATAACATATATATTCATTCAACCTCTTTCTCTTTTTAGATTTTATATTTATATATACACACTGCTGTATCCATTCTTTACTACACCAGCAATTGCTTTTTCTTTTTATTTTTATTTTTATTTATTTGTTTGTTCATTGTCTTGGTTGTGTTGTGTTCAAGGGAGTGAGTGTGCGTATATATATATATATAGAGAGAGAGAGAGAGGGGAGTATTATTAGTATTAGATATACATACATGTATATGTATGTAAATGCAATGGAGAAACAACAAAAAGAGAGAGAGAGAGAAACAAAAGAGAAGCCAATGGAAGATTGCATGAGAGAATGCATGAGAAAGTTGTGTCTGTGGGTGACGCGTACCTTCAAGCCAGTTATGTCTCACGATGAGCTTGAACCCATTATGGCTACCCTCGGTTTCGTCGGCCTTCCACCCTCCTCCGCCGCCTCCGGCTGCGACTGGAAGGAGTATGTGTATTCCGCTGGTGGCTGGCGGCGGAGTCTGTCACTCACCATCATCGACCACCAGAATCCGCCGCCTCCGAGCCCCCGACTTCCCTATCCCAGAATCGACGGCCTCCACATCTACACCTACACGGCTTTCCTAGATGCCGTCAACTTCTACCTCGAGATGACCAATATGTCTGACCTCTTCCATATTAGGTACGCTTTCTTTGCTTCTCTCTTCCCTATTCCTATTTTATTTTCCCCCTTTCCTATTATTCGTTCGTACTCTTTTTTTTTTTTCTTCCTATAATTCTTTCAATCTTTTTATTATTTTTTTTAAATAAAGTTGTCTGTACAAATAATAATAGCGTAACAATACTACTACTACTTTCTTTTTATTTTATTTGATTAGTATTTCTGCAGTTTACGATTCCATTGTTGATTTTGTTTTATATGTATATATCAATGAGTTCCCAAACTTTGCACTAGCTTGATGATTAAATTTTTAATTTTTTTCTTTTTAAGTCCTCCAACATTTTCAATGTAAATTTCAAATTATTTTTTTTTTATTTTTTATTCATTTAAGCATTCTCCCCTAAATAATTTAGGTTGATTTTGTGTTCTAGGTAAATAATTTTTTTAGGGGTTACATCTTTCCTAACTGGATTATGAAATTTCGGGTACTAGAAAAGTTTTGAGTGGAGTAAAGTTGGGAGCATCATAGAATTGGAACATAGATTGCCATTTCTCAAATGTTGATACATAAATGTATTGCTTAACTTAAACCAAAGGGTTGGCCCAGTGGCAAGCCTTTGGTCATGGGGTGTGTTTCTTTCAAGGTTTAGCCTCTTAGGTGCTAACAATTTCTTGAGTCATCAGACTGGGAAATTAACCGTCGTGCACTTGTGGAAAACTCATTACAAGGCCTGTGCACGGGTTTTGATCTGGACACCAGTGCCAATCAAAAAAAGAAAAATGTATTGCTGAACTGAATGTGTATATTTTTGGTGATAGATGGTTTCCTTTAATCAACTGACCGTGATTCTGTGATGTTGATTATAGCTTTCTCTCTTTGGTATACAAGAAAATATTTGTCAGAACAGGCAAGAAATTGAAATTGTAGGATTTTTCTTTCCATTACCAGGACTCCCAACTACTTTGTTTAGACAGGTTTGTTTATTTCTTCTCCTTTTGAGAATCAGAGACCATATTTGCATTTCTTTCCTCTATTTTGGTGACAATTATGAAGGGATAAAATGAATTGAGCAACAACTTTAAAAAAATAATTATTATTTATTTTTAGTAACTAAATCATCCTCTTAAAATTTGCCCAATGTGTACAAAAAGGAACAACAACATTGAAGGAAATAAACTGATAAAAAAATGTGCAAAGTTCAATTGTGTAACCGCTCTGTCTATATATTGATATGTAGAGGGATGTAATGGAAAAAGAAGCACTAAATTAGTGGATGTGACAAAATTACAATAAAGCATTACCGGGAATTGGCAAAACCCTTGTCTGTTACAATTGTAACTTTTCATCGTAGAGTGCCCTAACTATTGCTTTTCTTTCTTTCTCCCTTTTTTGGGTAAGTCTTCACTATTGCCGTTCCCCAGTGAATATCCACATTTTCTTAATGCACATTTTGTTGATAATTTGCCATGTTTTTTGACATACATTCTCAATGTAGTTTTGGTTTAACTTCTCATATATTTCTAATTATGCGTACCACAATTTTGGGGACAGTCTTATTTGCTCTAGAACAACTCACTGATCCTCGTGAAAGCTAATATCCTCCAAATAAATTATACAAGCTCCACATCTAGAGGCTTGGGTGCCTTAAACTAAATGTTCTTCAATTAAAATAGCACACGACTGCATGTGTGCGCATGCATGCAATATAGCTATCCAATGTCTGGACCTTGGCATACTAGATGCAACAGTTATATAGATGTGTTCAAGACTAAAAGTAGATTCCCAAGTCACCTATATTATAAATTGAGATGGAGCGTTGTGTGAAAAAGCTAAAACTAAATGTGAAACTTTTTATCAATTCTTCTTGGCGCTACTGTTGTCAGGTTATCTGCATTTTGACAACTTGCGTCCTGCACTTTCGACAATCTGAGCATATTTATAGAGCCATTTCCCTATTAGTTGCAAATGTGTTTGACTTATTTTTTTAATGTATCATTGTTTTCTCCTAACATGTCTATGGTAAGAAAATTAAAGAATTCAATAGCTTTGAGGAGACTGGCAAGTCCTTGTTTGGAAATTTATCTCTCTATGAGAATAATGTGAGTTAAGAAAATGGAGTAGAGACCAATACAAAATATGTTTCACTCAGTACCCTTCGAAGGATATTTAATCCGTAGCATATTAAACACACTACGAATTGTCAAAAGATATATGCATGATAAATAAGAATGCATTGACTAATTGATTATATTATACCCATCCCTTCATTTCTTTTTCAATAACTAAAATGGCAGTCTCAAAATAGTTGATTTATAATCTAATTATATTGATTCCAAAGTTAGTGATTCCAAATTGAGATGAAAACAATTAATTAGTGTCTGTTTTCTTTTGTTTCCGTATGAGGAATACTGCTTGTTAGAAGTGTAGAACATCCTGCAAGTCAATTATGTTTATTATAATTTTGTTGCTTGATTCCAATATTGATCTGTTCCAATCCTCTTTTTGTGGCAATTGTCCTCTTCTTTACCTTGAATACCAAGCATCACCTATTGTTGCATCTACGTTGGTAGAAAGAATGTTGAGATAGTTCGTGTTTTACAACATCGTCAATTAGGATCATGTTCAATTTCTTAAAAAGGGAAAAGAAAAGAAAAGATGTTGAAATAAAACCAACAAGAAACAGTTTTATATGAAGTTATGGCCATATGCATAACTTAGCCGAAATCAGTCCAGGAGAAGAAAAATAGCAGAATTTTATTTTAGCATGATTCTAGCAGATAAAGCAAGGCCTTTTGTCCCTTTCTTTACATACAAATACAAATACAAAAATGGCCAAGTGTGGTGTGACCCCACTCTTTTTTGGCCTTTTGGCTGGCTGGAGAAGTTTCATACCATCCATCCCATCCCAATCCCATTCATTTCTGAACCACCCACATACCAAAACCGTCAATTGATTTGTCAGAAGAAACAATAATGGGTTACCTTCTTCCTTCACTTCGACTCTGCAATTACTACTGCTTCCTCTTCTCCTGCTGCTGCTTTTTTCTGATTATGAATCCCACCACTGGCACTGGTGCAGGACAACCATCTGAACTAGTTAGCAGTATCTGCAAGAATACTACAAATTACAGATTCTGTGTGGAGTCTCTCTATTCAGACCCCCGCACACCAACTGCTGACTCCTACGTTCTTGCTTACGTTTCGTTCGACTTGGCTTACCTTAATGCCAGCCATACCGAAGACTACATAGACATGCTGTTCAATAACACCACTGCTGACCGTGACTCACGGTTATTGCAGCGTCTCCAGAGATGTAGTAGCTTCTATGGGGGGGCCATTTCAGCTCTGTCTTAAGCCGTCAATGACTTGGACTCTGAGACTTACTCCAAATTAGCTCGATTAGCTGGTGTTGCCGTCCATGAGCCTTGTGACTGCGAAGCCATTTTCCAAGACCACTCCCCCTTTACCTTGTCTCGCATGAATCACGATTTGAGGGGTCTCTCCAAAATTTGTGTTGTTATCTCTCATCTTTTTACTGTATCTGTGTAATTGGGGTCAGTTTGTGGTGCGAATAGGCACAATTTAGTTAGATTACAAATTTAAGGTGGATTTTTTTATTTTTATTTTTTTGAAACTTGAGTTGGTTTCATTTTGTGTTTTTGAGCTTGATGAAAAGGCTTCTATCCTTGTAAAATCAATTCTGATTGAATGCTCCACATTGTTGTCACAGCTTTATACCTCTCACAGTGCTTTTATTTCATGAACTATAATCCCTGACTTTCTTGTATGTCTAGTTGAAACTATAATCATCTCGTCTTTTGCTGCTAATGGGGCTTGAACACAATGTTATTTCAATCTCAAATTTAGTATGATAATTATCAAAAAATTGAGTAAAAGGGGTGAATGTGTTGCCACTACTTTAGCTTCTCCCATTGGAAAAATTATATTCACAACCCTCCTTTTAACCAGTGTTAATCATATGGAATGTTCCTTGAGCTGTTGGACTTCATCATAATCTTGTGGTTTTTATTTATTTATTCACTTTTTATTTCAGGGGAATGCCACTCCACAGAGTTCTTGACCGGAACAGGAAGTGGCGCCGTATAGAAGAAGATGATAGTGTCTTTGTTTACAGAGAGGGAACGTTGGATCAAGCAATATACACGTACTATCACAAAAACAAGAATGACGTCAACAGTGGTAGCAAAGGGTGCAATTCAATGCTCATCCGCAACAAGGGCAACAGTACACCGACAGGCTGCATAGTCCCGTTGAAAGATATCATAGTGTGATCATAATATTCAGAACATATATAAACATATACAAACCTGCTTCAAAAGCTCCCCCAATAAATAAATCATCATCGAATATAACTGGACATGACACCCTATTCGGTTCAAGTTTGTTATGGTGTGAGAACTCAGTTGTCTCTGTTTTTTTAATATGAAACCCAAAGATAATCTTGTCTGGGTCAAAAATGGCAGACACCGGTAAAGTTGCCACTGAGTTGGCTTTGCTATGATTCAATTTTTCTCCAAGACTGGCCTGATCTGAAACAAATAGGCTTAAAATTCATATCATGGATGTCCAAAAAAGAGGATCTACACAAGGAAGTATCATATCACTATCAGGCTCTTTCAGATCAGATAGCCAGCCAGAGTACTCCCAAGCACCGGATATTTGTTTGACTTGGTATGGAGAGAATAAATGATTGGCTGATGCTGGGTTTGGCAAACGCTTTTTTGTAGGTTTTTTTTTTTTTTTTTTTTTTGAAAAGTAAAAGTAGTTGTTAAAAAGACTATTGTTTGGTCAATGTTAAAAAATTTCTCTTTTTTTAGTTGGTGATAAAGTTTACTGGATTTTTTTTTTTCAATTTTCCATTTTTGTCAGTTAAACATGCATTGCTAAAGTGGGGCTTTTTTTGGGGGGTTGAAATAGCCAAAAAGTGGCTAGATGAGAACGGGTGGATGCATGAATTGATCCCTTTTGATTAATTAATTAATTAGTGTTTTTTGAGAAGATTATTGCCTCACTGCGGCTTTGCTATACAAGTGTATAAACCACTGATCGGCTATGTAACAAGTCAGGATCTAACAGTCAACCAATGACAACAATAACGGGGAGGTAAATTATGTTCTCTCCAATGGCAAATGGCAATACATTTCAACCAATTGGAGAACGATAGCAAACAGCCGCAGCACATGATAAACAAAAAAAGCCTTTTCCAATTTTGATAAATGCTATTTACATTATCCAACAGCATGGCATTTAAGAAGGAATAGTGGGCATACATACATGATGATGATAGTATCATTAGAGGTCTATGACACTACAAGACACATTCATGCAACAGGGTCCTCTTCCTTCTCCTCTAAGAACTCCAAAGACTTACCATAGAATTTCTCAGCTTCCTGTCTTACATTAGATGAAAGACCCACTTCTCCTTTTGATTCTAAACCATTTATCAATATTCTAAAGGATGACTTATCTGGCTCGCATCCTAATGATTTCATCAAGTAAAAGCACTCCATTGCAAGTCCCGTCATGTTGAAATTCATCAATTTCTTCAACAGCGCATTAAAGGCCACAGTCTCGGGCTCTAAACTAGTTTCCATCTTCAATTGCACGAAGAGAAGTTCCACCCTTTCATACAACCCATTGCATCCCAGAGCTGATATAATTTCAGCATACAATGAAACCTGAGGCTTATACCAATACTCCTCCTGAATATCCTCAAAAACCTAGATCAATTTATTGGACAATGTCAGTAAGGACCAAGGCAGTAGTAGTCAGACAAAGACAAGAAAGTATAATGTCATTAATCATGGTGTTTACATCAAACCTTTGAAAATAAAAAAGAAAAGAGAAAAATGGAATAAGCTTTCCCTCATTTATTTGACAACCGCTAGAACTCAATTGTTAACTAGACATCTAAGACATCCAAAAATATCCACTACCAAAAGGGAGACAAAAGAAGAGAAATAAAAAAAGAGGACAGAGCAACCAAACGGCAAATAAGCTGATAAAAAATCATTGATCCTTAGTTCTGTATCCTTATTCAACAAATGAAAGAATAATATAAAATAAGAATGCAACTACGCAATTAACATAGGTCAGTGCATATACATGTAAAAGATTAACAGAAATGTTATTCCCTAGAAATCCTTCATCTGCACATGTGATCCAAAATCACCAAGAACCTTCTTACATATCCATCCCTTTTTTGGGTATATCATAAATTCACTTCGATTTATGTAAGCATCTAATCTTGTTAAAACATTAATTTGGTGTAATTGGCCATTAATTATATCTCCAATAATTGGTTTCTCTTAAGCTAAACGGTTAGGGCAAAAAAAATGCCCATGGAAGACTGACATTATTTTGCAGAATAGTTGGACGTGGCCCCACGCAAATTTATTCACCCAAAAAAAAGGCCCCGCGCAAATTCCACTGACCATATTGTGCTAAAGCAGGTCCTATTCTACCTAGTCATATGGATAAAGAAGATAGATTTTTTTGATTTCCTTCTTCTTCTTCTAATGGCAGTTATTCAGTGGAAAATGTATTGGAAGCTCTTAAGAGAGAAATTGCCTACTGTTATTTGTTCCCAATTATTAGCTACTCAGACAGGTTCTCAGTCAAGGGAATTATTAGGAGAGTATAGTGTTTATTATAATTAATATATATATATATATATAGATCATAGGTGGTGTCTTGAGATCATTTACTATCTGACTAAATATTCACCAAAAAGACATTTGGTTTGGAGTTAGGAAGAAATGGGAAATTGAAAAGGATTCCTATGTCTTGTGATCAAAATGTTTGATGGGCCAGCAATAAATGCCAAGGTTCTCCTTTTTCTACCACCTCTGGGTGGCTGAGGATAAGGACTTTTGAGATTACTTATATGTGATTTTGGTAGAATGTAGAAGGAAGATCGACGGGTTTAAAGGATATGAAAGATACTCATGTCATGCTAGAAAGAAAAGTTTGTGGAAGTTAGGAATTTAGAGATTTGTTAGTTTAATTTGCTACAAGTTGCTGGCACATCATATGTGAAGATTGCAAGTTTATTCAAGAAGTTGTTTCAATCTACAATCAGAAAATGAGAAAAAAACAAAAATCAGCAAATGAAACTCTGCTACGCACTACTAGGAGCCCTAGTACAGTGCTGTTGATGGTTCTTTACGGTGGTGTTTCACTTTCGTGTGCAGTTAAGTATTGAAATTGGGCATTGAAACGAGCAGCCTCTAGTCTATCAAAGCGAATTAGAGTTGCAAAATATACAAGTGAGCTATACAGCAAGTAAATTGGTGGAAAAAGAAGAGAAGAAATAAATAAAAATAAAAATAAAAGAATAGTTATAATAGAAAAACCTTGAGGGCCAAAAGGCATTGGTTCTGGCGGAGGAGTTCACGAAGAACAGCCATCATATCGTTTTTGAGCAAGCGTTTGAATTTGGAAGCGAACACCAGCTCCAGAGAGGAAGAGGAAGAGGAAGAAGAAGAGGAAGAGGAAGAGGAAGAGGAAGAGGAAGAGAAGTCTTGGTGTTGGTGGTTGGTGTAGAGGAGGAGGGCGGCTCGCTTGAGAGATTGAAGAGTATGGATAGCTTCGATGCTGAGATTCCTCCCTCTCTGAAGGGGCTTTCGGTTCTTGCTCCTGTCCCTCCCCATTCTTATCCTACTATGTATTCCGGTGAGTCGCCACCCATTCCCTTCGCTACAAATAACGCTGCTGCTGCTGCTGAATGACAAAGAAGGAGAACGAGGTGTTCCAATTCCAATTATTGCACAACAAGTCATCGTTCCGAATATGTCAAAATAAGAGAGGAGATAGATATTATCTCTCTCTCTCTCTCTCTCTCTCGAGATCAAGGATGCCCCGGCCGCTGCAACCCCATCTCCTGGTTGGGTTTGCTATATGGTTTTACAGTAGTGCAATATGGGGGGGGGGGGGGGGGGGGGGGGAAGGTTTGAAAATAAAAAAGAAAAGAGAACACGCTCTAGCCTACTGTAGCCCAAACTCTGTGAGTGACAATTGTGTAAAGATATGTTCAAGGGATGCTTCATTCTATTAACGCCCACGAATTTTCTTACCTCAAGAAGAAGAAAAAACTGGTAATTCTTTTTCCAAACATTAAAGTCAGCGTTTGGTAACGTTTTTTTATTTATGTTTATAAAATTTTATAAATTAATTTTTGTTTGTTTTTAAAAAAATATAAACTATAAACGCGTTTGATTTGAATAAAATGTTTAAAAAATTTTAAAAATATAAATTTAAAAATACGTTTGTTCAAGCTTAAAAATTTGTATTTATTTTTTATTATTTATGACAATAGAATCATACATATTATAATTGAAAAAAATATTTTAAAAAAATTAATTAGAAAAAAAATAATTGAAAAAAAAAATTTGTTAGTCAAAAAAATAAAAAATCTGTTTAAAAACCAACTTAAAACTCATTTTTTAAGTTTACTTTTTTTTCCTCAAATTTATAAACCGAGACAACCATTTATAAACTTAAAAAAATTATCAAACAAGTTTTTATGACAATTTTAAAATTGTTTAAAAATAGAAACTGAAAACTGAAAACGAAATGGTTATACTGTGTTTGGTTAGAAATTTGAGATAGGATTTAAAAAAAAAAAAATTTGGGAGAAAAGGAAAAATATATGTGAAATTAAATAAAATGTAAATATATTTTATTCATATTTTATCTTCCTTTTTTATTTCCCTCTCTAAACCATTTTCTAAATCCCTCAACCAAACACAGTTCATACGCTTAATAAAAAAAATAAAAAAAATTTAGAATACAATCTTATCCTACAATAATATATCATAACATCTTTATCTTTTTCCACCTAATTCTTAATTTTAAAATATTACAACCATCCGTCATCTTCATCTTTATCGCCATCACCACGTTTTTCCTCCACCATCATCTTTCGTCATCCCTTTCCCCTTCCACCTACTACCACCTTCTGCCACAAACTGTATACTCCCACAAACTCTCCATCACGAACCATCCACTTTTGATATTTGACTGTCATGTTTTCGGATGAAAGGGAGTTGGAAATGGCATTGATGGTGGTGATTTAGGGCTGAGAGTGGAGGCAATGACAGCGAATAGCGAATGACGGTGGGTAGATGTAAGAAAAATTAAGGTTTTAAAATTGAAAATAGGGTAATATTAGAATCAAGAGATATGTATTGAGATTTTTTATTTTTTTGATGTATGTATTGAGAATGTGTTCATTAAGGGTCTGTTTGGTAACGTTTACGTTTTCAGTTTATATTTACAAATTTTTTATAAACTGGTTTTTGTTTATTTTTTTATTTATTTTTAGAAAAACAAAAACTACAAACGCGTTTGGTAATTGACAAAATATATAAAAAAATTTAAAAATATAAAAAAGAGTGAGAAATGACAAGTGGTAGCAAGTGGCGACGGAAGATAGTGGTGGAAAGTGGTGACGGTGGGTGATGGGTAGCGGGTGGGTGGTGGTGGTGGGTGACGGTGGCATAAACTGGTTTTTGTTTATTTTTTATTTATTTTTAGAAAAATAAAAACTACAAACGCGTTTGGTAATTGACAAAATATATAAAAAAATTTAAAAATATAAAAAAGAGTGAGAAATGACAAGTGGTAGCAAGTGGCGACGGAAGATAGTGGTGGAAAGTGGTGACGGTGGGTGATGGGTAGCGGGTGGGTGGTGGTGGTGGGTGACGGTGGCGGGTGGTAGCGAGTGGGTGGTGGTGATGGTGATGGTGGTGGCGGGTGGTAGGTGGTGATGGCAGGTGGGTAGTGGCGGGTGGGTGGTGGTGGATGGGTTATGGTAGGTGGGTGACGGTGGCGGGTGGTAACGAGTGGGTGGTAGTGGTAGGTGAGTGGCGGATGGCAGGTGGTGGCAAATAGGTGGTGGTGGTGGGTGGTGGCAAATAGGTGGCGGGTGGTGGCAAATAGGTGGCGGATGGTGGTGGTGGTGGTGGTGGTGATGGGTGGGTGACGGTGGCGGGTGGTAGATGGTAGCGAGTGGGTGGTGGTGGTGGCTGATGGTGGGTGAATCTATTTGTTGGTGTTAGTGGGTGGGTGGGTGACGGTGGCGGATGGGTGGTGGGTGGTAGCGAGTGGGTGGTGGTGGTAACGGGTGGTGGGTGGTGGTGGCGGAAGACGGTGATGAAAAATGGTGGCGGGTGGTGGCTATGTTGGGTGGAAAAAAAAAAAAAAACTCAAAACTCAAAATGGAAGCACATTTTTTGAGTTTACATTTTTTTGCTAAATCTATAAACTGAGACCACTAATTTATAAATAAAAAATTGAAATTTATCAAACAAGTTTTTATTTCAATTTTTAAAATTTTTGTAAATATAAACAGAAAATTGAAAACATAAGTGTTACCAAACGGCACCTAAGCATGTGACAAAATTATAAGATGAGTAAAGTATCAATAAATCTTAAAAATTGAACTTAATTTTTATCAAGTCCTATTGAAAGTTAATCATAATAAAATTGTCGCTAAAAATTGACAACTAGTGGCTTTTTTTGTTAAGATTTTTTATAAATTGTGCTAAGACTTTTAATTAGTGACATTTTTTGTGACGAATTTTCAAATTGCCGCTGAAAATTAACGATTAGTGACATTTTTTTAATGGTGTTTGATGAAAAATACCATTAATTATCATACGACATATTAGACAATAAATTCACTTATTAGGACCTATATGTAAGTTTTTCAAATTCTATTTGCACATTATTAATCCTCTCAGTACACACCATTAACAGATTAAATTTATATTCCAATATATCCTCAAATGAAAAGACCATTAAGGATAATATCAGGATGTATTCTACGCATTCAAAAATTTCATATATAAAAACACAAAACACTCTCACACACTATCATCACCTATACACATATAAACATCCAAAATAAATTGATTTTGAAGATATAGAATTTAAGCATATTGAAATTAATTGGTTTTAAAAATTGAGGGTTTAAGATTATTGAAATCAATTAGTTTTGAAGATTTACACAATATGGATGACATTGACATTATTGATTTCGAATAATGTAACAATGAAAATGTCAATTTAATCCTTGGGAAGATAACTTTGTTCGTTACGTGTTCAAATAGCCAGAGTTTAACTTTTACACAATGTTCAATTATTTTTATTTGAACAAACTAATTTTTTAAAAATTATCAAGGTTGACTAGATTATAAACGTTCATATATTAATTCCTTAAAAATTTCATTTCTCAAATTTAATTTAATTCAATTAAATAATTTAATTTGTTTTTGGTATAATTTCTTTTCTTTTTTTTTAAATTACAAAAAGTAGATGTATTCAACCTTTACAATAAATAAATAAATAAATAAAATATAATATTTGTTCAACATAAATATTTTGAACATATTCAATTTTATTTTTTTGTACGCTAATATTATGTTTCGGTAACCAGAGTTGAGCCAAACTTGAAATAGAAATTGCTATGAAAGTTGAATCGGTAACCAAATAAAAAAAATAGGAGAAAAATATATAAATGTGAGAATTAAAGGTGTGAATGATAAATCAACATTGACAATGCATCAATGAAACGTTGGCGAGACGACGGTTGAGAGGGTAATTTTTGGTAACAATTGGGCCGAGCTATGTGATAGGCTTTGTGGCCCAAAGTGCCAAGGACTTGGTGAAAAAGGCCGCAAGGTTACTCCGGCCCAGGAGAGGTATGGTTACTCCGACCCAGGAGAGACAGGGTTACTCCGGCCGAGGAGAGGCAAAGCTACTCTGGCATAAGAGCGACAAAGTTACTTCGGCGCGGTGACTATAGAGGTACTTCGGTCCGAAAGCAACTTGGAGTTATGCCGGTCTTGGGGCTATACCGGTCGAAAGTCGCTGGTTCGGCCTAAAACCGTACTATGGGTTCTATATGGAAAGCCGAGATAAGAAAGGGAAGACAAAAGAACCGAACTATGAGTGAGTTCGGTCCATTCAGTGGCTCTGCATAGCCAAGCTTATTTCGGTCATATGATAGTTCGGCCAAAGTAAAAACCATCCCACTTGGTTTAAGCAGTGGGGGAGGGTGTAAAAGGATAAGCATTATCCTTAGGAGTATGAAACTTGAAATAGAAATTGCTATGAAAGTTGAATCAGTAACCAAATAAACAAAATAGGAGAAAAATATATAAATGTGAGAATTAAAGGTGTGAATCAAGGTTGTGAATGATAAATCAACATTGACAATGCATCAATGAAACGTTGGCGAGACGACGGTGAAGATAGAGATTTGAAACGACAACAATGAAGCAGCAAGTCAATGACAAAACGATGACAATGATGGAGATCTGAAACGATGAGAATGTACTGAACAAACGAAACCATTTATCGGCGATAGAGATCTATGGTGTTATAAAGATTGAGGTATTTGAAGTTCTAAAGATGGAGATATTTGGGTGTGGGTTGTCACGTGTATTCAAATAAACATGTAGTGTGTTATCTTAGGCCAATAATGGGAAGTTAAGACGTGAACTATGATATTTTTAAACTTTAAAAAAATTATTATGTGTATATACTAAATAATGATGTGTACGGAGAGAATTAATGATAGGTAAATAGAATTATCTTATAAGAAGAATGGTGTGAGATTTTGTTCCATAATGACACCTATTATTAATCCAGAAAAAATAAAAATTTATAAATTTTTGAATAAATAAATAAATAAATAAATTAATATGGTATGGTGGCCCTGAATATGGTAAAGTGAGCTAGATGGGCTGCGATGAATTTGGGCTTGGAGTGGCCCCTCTAGAAGTAGGACACAGTACAAGGCTTAGGCTGGGAGGTGGTCGGAGGAGTAAAGCCGTTTCGTGAAGTTAACGGGAAATCGCGAATCGTTGGTTGGTAAGAATAAGAAGGGCAAACAAAGCAAAAGCAAAAGCAAAAGCAAAAGCACCCAACACAACAAGCACGTGACAGTACAAGGGCCCGCCCCGCCCGAGTCTGGAACTGGAAGTGGAAGAAGGAAAAAAAGGGTTTTTATCATCAGGAAAGGACTCAGCAGAGGAATAACAAAGAGGCTTTTTATCATCAAAGAATGGCGAGTATGGTGGTGGGTTCGGCATCGCCATGGTTGAGAAGTAGGATAATTCCAGAGGTAGCTCATCCGATATTCCGTCAATCATCATCATCATCACTACATTATCGACCTCGTAACAACAGAGCATTCTCTCTTTTCCGGAGAAGATTGAGTTTTTCAATCTCAGCATCATCTGTGAATTCTTCTCTTCCTCCTCCTACTCCAGATAAGAAGAAGAAGAGGGTCGTTGATGATTTAGGACAAGTCCGAGTTCGCTTTGCTCCTTCGCCCACCGGTAATCTTCACGTCGGAGGCGCCAGAACTGCCCTCTTTAATTACCTCTTCGCTAGGTACCCTTTCCAATTATTTCTTCACTTCACGCCATTACTTACTTCCAATTTCTCACTCTTGCTTTTTCTTTCCATCTTTGTTTCTGTTATCGTTTCCCATTTATTCGCCACCTTCTTTCAGGTCTAAAGGGGGTAAATTTGTTCTTCGAATTGAAGATACTGACTTGGAGAGGTCCACCAGGGAATCTGAGGAAGCCTTATTACATGATCTTTCTTGGCTTGGTCTCCATTGGGATGAAGGTCTCTCTTCATTCTTTCTTTCCTTCCTTCCTTCCTTTCCTCCTCAATTTCACTTTTACTTCTATTACTTCTCCAATTGTCTGCTTTTTAATTTATATTTAGGAAGAAGAAAAAAAAGAAAGAAAGTATATTTCTATCTCACTAATTCAACCATAACGAAACCTAGTACACATAATCAGAGACTTGGGTGAGCATGATTTGTTTTTTCCTCTTACAGTTTAGTTGTTTCCACTGCATCTAGGGGTATATGGAGTGTAAAATTTCACTCCAACACCATGGTTAGCAAAGCATCAAATTGCAAAATTTGAATGGGCCCCTCCTGGCTCCTACTACAATTCCAAAGCCTCATTTCTCGGCTGCTAAATATCAATGAAATCTGATAATGTCAATATACATGATTATTTTCTATATTTTACATGCTCAATTGGAAACTTTGCTGCAAGATCCGCAAGCTTTTCCTTTTCTGTCCGGTTCTTCACTTTTCTATTTTTATTTTCAATATTCTGTCTAAAGCTCTCGGTGGCTGAACTCCTCATTTATTTTGTATGAACAATAAGCATGGAAATTCATCTGTTGGACTATGTAGCTTGAAGGTTCAGCCTTCACTTTTATCCTCACTGAGTTTGTTTGTGTTGGAGTGGCTAAGATGTATATAGTATCTGTGAGTGGCATTACCTTTGAAATAGACATGGGAACGAATAACGAATAAATAAGTAGAATCAAGGACAAGTTCAATTCTTAACATTATTCTCAATTTCAGTTCTCATTTTGCCATAATTGTTTGTTTGGATTAAGTTGACTAAACTGGGTTACGTGCGTACTAGACATCCTGTTGGATACTTGGTGGTTTTAACACCCCGACAGAACAAGCAAGCAACTGTAACTGCGGGTTTTGATCTACGTGGCACTCAGGTGGCAAGAAAATGATCCATGTTTTGCATCTCTCTCTCTCTCTCTCTCTCATATTTTACGTAATAGTTTGGTTTTATGTATGTTCCAACATTTCAATTTTTACTTGTAGGTTGAGTTTCAGTTAAATTTTATGGTTCATTCACTGAATTGAATAACATGAAATCTATTACAAGTAATGATGATGATCGCATGCTGTAAAAAATATGCAGGTCCTGGTGTTGGTGGGGACTATGGTCCATATCGGCAGTCTGAAAGAAATGTTCTGTACAAACAATATGCTGAGGAGCTTTTAAAATCTGGTCATGTTTATCGTTGCTTTTGTTCTAATGAGGTAATTGTGTTCAATCTTTGGAATTCTTTCTTTATGAACTATGATCATAGCCACAGACATGTAACCAGCGCCTATCTCGTAAAAAATAAGATTGCCTCAAAAAGAGATGATGGGTACTTTAGTGATCTTTAAGAGTGATTGGGACAAGTGTTTGGATGAATTAGGGAGTTTATCTTTTTTGTTGGAATTAGGGCAAGGTTCTCTTTGTCTGTGGTAGTTGCAACTTTTTTTAAAAGAAATCTGTTAATCTTTCATGTCATGGTTAAAATGCAATGTACTAGTTTAAGTGAGGAGGGTGGCAAGGGTTGAGATTGGCATTTGCTTGTTTTTCTTTATGAAATAGCTTTATTTGGTTAAAGTGAGTGTGTTTGTTGAGGATGTGTTGGTGTGGTGGGGCTTTTTGGAGTAAATTGGTTTTAGTGGGCTTTCTATTAGATATTGAATTACAAGGTCGTGAGAGATTTTTAAAACAAAGTTTTTGGGCTTCCTGTGCTTCTTTAAAGTTGTTTGAGGTATAATTCTGGGAGTGAATTATTTTTTGCAGGGTATGTTGTTTCTGTCAGTTGAAAATTGCCGGGACACCTTCTCGTTTACTTTTCTTTGGCCCATGAACTACCGTTATTATTGTTATTATTATTATTATTTTGCTCCAGAAACGTGTTGCTTTTTTTATATGAATGATCTGTTCAGAAGAGAAATGAGTGAAACTCTGTCTGTTTCTGTCTATATTATTTGAAGTGTTGCTCTGATGTGCTATTTTATGCATCTGAAAGAGCATAATAGGACTATTTTGAGATTTTTGAACGCCCTGTGCTCAAATGAAAAGTCATCAAGTAATGGTATTTGATCTGAAAGACAAAGATTCAGAAGAGCTTAGACTTGTGAGGAGTCATCTTTTTTGTTTTTAAATTTTTTGGAAAGTGCTTGGCTCAGTGGTGAAAATTTGGGCTGCCAAGCATGAGAACATAGGGGTTTGAGTTTGAGAGTGGTTGTGTAGTTAATTGTGTTTTAGTCTTGCATGTTTACCATCATATGTTGATGGAAGCAAACATGGTTCTTCTGTGGTGCAAATTCTGCTTGATAAATTAATTTCAGGGAAATGAGGCATTATGGGTTTTATATGACTGTAATTGGTCCTTTCATTTTGAATCAGTTTCCTGATTTTGACAAAACCATTGCCAATGTTTTTGTTTGCATCATGGTTATACAACTACTATTTTGTAGACTTATAGCATTCTGCAGGTGTTGTGTCAATTTAATAAGTTCACTTTTTTTACTGTTAGAGGATGTAATACTGTACTTATGGATCATTCTAAGTTTTTTCAGGAACTAGAAAAAATGAAGGAGATTGCAAAGTTAAAACAACTGCCTCCAATATACATTGGAAAGTGGGCTGACGCCTCATATGAGGAAGTAGAAGTAGAACTGGCAAAGGGAACACCTTATACATATCGATTCCGAGTGCCCAAGGAAGGGAGTTTGCAAATTGATGACCTTATTCGAGGAGAGGTGAGTTCTGCTTTTGAATTTCATTGGATGCAAAAAGAGTAATGTGTTTCCGATGTTGGATGAAGAGTGTATGATGTGTTCAGTATAGACCATGTTGTTGTGTGTGTATCATTCATAGTTGACTTGTAGCAGGGTTTTGTGGCCGCCTATGAAATTTGCCAAGACAAAAGATGGGTTAACCATTTTAAGAAACTTAGAACTTCAACAAAGTTTTTCTAATTTGTTTTATATTTATTGGCTATTTAAATAGAGTGTGGGTATCTAAATAGACACCACTACATGGCAGGCCTTTGGCACAATTCAAGCAAAATGCCGTATTTTAGCACGACGAAAATTTTACTATATTGTCCCCACAAAATGCCACATAAATTAAATTAATGCCAAGTTGGCATTGTGCCAACTGCCTAGTGTGCTACCAAATTTCACTATATTAAATTCTCTATTTTATTTGATGAAACTTTGAATTAAATTGATGAATTGATTTTTTTTTTAATATTAATTATTGCATTTCAAATGCATATAATTAGGTATACACGATTGCATAATCTTCAATTAAAATTGATTTATAGGTTGATTGTGGTAAAAATAAAATAAAATAGCATATGCACTGGTAAAGTGAGCTCGTCAAAATATTACATTTTGGCCTTGTACCATGTCAAAATGTAGTATTGACACGATTGAAATAACACAATCTGTTGGAGGTGGTCTTAACTTCGAGCCATGGCCACCACAGAATGAACCCAAGCACAAGGCACACTGAGGGGCTTGGAGGCTAGCATTAAGCAATTACTAAGATAGCTAGGTTCAGCTATTGAGGTAGCCCCACCTTGACCGATGAGAGATGTGTGCTATACCAAATACTGGAGCCTCCCCTGATGCAACTCTCGAGATATCATACATAGCACCGTAGTTCTCATGATGTAGACTCCAACGTCTGATCTTAGGATACAAAGGTAGTTGAAATATCTCCATCTTGTTGAACCAAAGAGAATGAGCTACCCGTCCAGAGGTTAGTTGGCCTCCATGGTTGGGCCTCTATGCATACATTGGGGTATCATCATTAGCCTTCCTTAGTCATCTCCTTCACCTCCAGCAAACACGCTCTCTCCGTTGTCATCCTCTCCTTCACTAAGGCTACATGAGCTCTGACCTTCACCACCTCCGATTCTCCCCCACCATTTTGGTACCCGCCATCTTCCCAGACATTCCACGAGGACACGTCAGCACCTACTATCCACACTGAGACAAAGGCGTAGCCCAGTGGTGGGAACCCCTTTACCAGACACTAGTTATGGTTTTCAAGTCTTTCCCTTTATGGTAGAACTTAGATATATATTGTGATGGTCTTGTATCTCCTAGAAAAATAAAAAATTAATGAAATATATAGTTATTTTCACCTTAACTGGTCATCCATCATTCTCACTGGAAAAGGCTTAACTAGGCACCCTATCTGTTCTACAAATGGTATGGTCCTTGTGACTCTGGTTGAAATCATATTCATTTATTCTTGTTGTTTCTAAGTTTCTAATTTTGTTTGATAGTGTCATGAAGGTTAGTTGGAACTTGAACACACTTGGGGATTTTGTGATTATGAGAAGCAATGGACAACCTGTTTACAACTTTTGTGTCACTGTTGATGATGCTACCATGTCTATCTCGCATGTTATAAGGTAAAATTTACAGCAATACTTGAGTGAATATACCATATATGCTGCCATTCTTTCTGGCTTGCTTCCTGCATTTGTGATCACATACTGCATTATTTCCTTTTTCTTTTTAATCTTCCCCCCTCCCCTCGCCCTCAAAACTTTCATTTCAGAGCAGAAGAGCATTTACCAAATACTCTAAGGCAAGCATTAATATATAAGGTAATTTTGCTACCCTGAATTTTCATTTATTTATTTTATTAGTCCTGAATTTTCATTTATGTTTCCTCATTTCCAAGGGATTAATCTCTTACATCAATTTGGAAGTAGCTTTTACCGGAATTTAAATGTTTTCCATTGCAGGCTCTTGGATTCCAAATGCCTTGCTTTGCACATGTTTCTTTAATTCTTGCACCTGATCGGAGCAAACTTTCTAAACGGCATGGTGCAACTTCAGTGGGTCAGGTTGTTAACAGTTACATTAGTCCATTGGTGTTTTCCTGATGAAATTAGAGTTTTTGCAAAATATAATCTTTGTTTCGATATCTTCGAGGGTTTTTCTTGTCAAATAAGTAATATAAACAACTTTTTGTGATTGTCATCGACAGTTCAGGGAGATGGGATATCTGCCTCAGGCAATGGTGAACTATCTAGCACTACTGGGTTGGGGTGATGGTACTGAAAATGAGTTCTTTACCCTCGAGCAACTTGGTTAGTCTATCTACTTTATTGGTTTTGTTTGTGCAATAAGTGTATGAACACCAATCTAAGTATTCTTTTTTTTATTTTTTATTTTTAAATTTGTTGTTTACAGTTGAAAAATTCTCAATTGACCGTGTCAACAAAAGTGGAGCCATCTTTGATTCTACGAAATTAAGGTGATTGTGGGTTTTCAACTGCTATATGCCCAGAAACTATTATCTTTAGGGAGTTGCAGATGAAATTTATCTGCTATTGGATGATGTACTATTTTCTATCATGTTGTTTGTTTTGATTTTCTTGATGCCATATGAATATAGTTCGGTAAATATCTGAGAAAGTAAGGCCTTTGTGATTTCTGAAGATATTGGTACTCAAATGCTTTGAATCTGTAAAATGTTGTGATGTTCTGTAGCTTCTTGATACTCTTCACCTTTATGTATTTTTAAAGGTGGATGAATGGTCAGCATTTAAGATCTCTTCCCTCAGAAGAGTTGACCAAGCTTATTGGTGAGCACTGGAAGAGCACTGGCATCCTTACCGAATCAGAGGGGCTGTTTATAGAAGTATTATCTCTTTCCATATTTCTATTGAATCTATTGTACTTCAATTTTATACAAACAACTTCTGAGTTCTGGGTCAGTGATGAGATGCTCTGTGTGATCTTTGCGGTAAGATATTAGTTGAACTTAATACATTTCAATCTAATTTATGTTCTCAGAATAACAGAACCTGGACAAAAATAACCCATACAGTTAAATGTACACTAGTAACTGACCTAGTAAGGATGTTCAAAGTGATTTTCTTATGTGTACGAATGGGACCATTGTATTAATCTCCTTTGGGACCTGTGGACATATTTTCTTGATTGTACTAGGAGGTGCTGGTCAGAAATATTGGACAGCAATATTAAACCGAGTTTTACTTTGGTTGTTAATGTCCCTATACATTTGCTTCCAAGATTTTGCTTCTCAAAGAATCATGCAAAGGTATGCACTCACAAATAATCTCTGTATAAACAGGAGGTTGTTCAGCTGCTAAAGGATGGGATTGACTTGATACCAGATTCTGACAAAGCACTATCGAACTTGCTGTCTTACCCCTTATATGCTACTTTAGCAAGGTAATTCTTGGACTTCATATTATCGGGCATCTTTTTGGACTGAAACTCTTCTTCATCCAGGCCATTCAAATTTCATTCATACTAGTCATATGGGTTTGCTTTTTGCTTTGGCACCTATTAAGGAGTCTTTGACATGATCTTTTTACGACATTATTTGATATGAATATGGGGAGGATGTAAGTTTTTTTGAATGAAACTGTATATTCAATTGTTTGCTAATACAAAGAATACATCTGATTATATAGTAAACATAATCCCAAGACTAAAAAGGAAACACTGCCATATATATATACCTAAAACACTGTCATATTTATACACCTAAAACACTATCATATATATACACCTATACAATCTCTCAAAAAACATAACATTGCCAATGCCATATATATACACGCAACCTAATATTCTCACATCCCTGCTTAAACTCAAGGTGTTGTAGTAGAAAACACTGCTAGTTTGCCAAGAAGAAACTGAAACTGAGCAATGGTGTGAGTCTTGGTAAAAAAGTCAGCAAGTAGTAGAGCCGAAGAGATGAAAGAAAGCGAGATAGAGTCAGACTGTAGATGCTGACGGACAAAATGACAATCAATTTCAATGTGCTTCATTCACTCATGGAAGACAATATTATGGGCAATCTAAATAGCACTACGGTTATCACAATAGAAGGAGGTCGGAGAAGATTGAGGGATGCTCAAGTCAGAGAGAAGACAGCAAAGTCAGACAACTTCAGCAGTAGCGTGAGTCATAGCACGGTATTTAGCTTCGGCAGTAAAACGAGCAACAACAGTTTGTTTCTTACTTTTCTAAGAAATCAAGGAATCGCTAAGAAACATACAAAAACCAGAAGTGGACTTACGATCTGCAACATCACTAGCCTAATTAGAATTAATATAGGCGACTAAAGCCAAGGAAAAAGTAGAGGACAACAGCAATCCTTGGAAGATAGTGCCCGCGAAGATAGCGAAGAATCTGAACCAAAGTAGCTCAATGTGTAGAACGACGAGCAGAAACGAACTGACTAACCACATGAACTGCATAGGCAAGATCAGGACGAGTAACTGTCAGATAGACTATGCAACCCACGAGCTCCCAATATAAAGTAGGATCAAGCAGAGGAACATTATCAGTAGTATTAAGTTTCACATTAAGCTCAATGAGAGTATCAACAATCTTAGTGTCAGTAAGACTGGCACGGTGAATAACTTCATTAGTATACTTAGCTTGAGACAGAAAGTAGTCTTTAGGAGAAGAGGTTACCTCAATACCAAGAAAATACCTCAAGGGGCTCAGATCCTTCATTTCGGAGGTGCAAAAGAGATGTTGCTTGACCTCAAAGATAGCAAAAGAGTCGGAGTCAGTGATGATTATATCATCCGCATATAGTAACAAGGCAATAAAACCAGTAGATGTGTGAAAGAGAAACATAATAAAATCTTGAGCACAAGGGTGAAACCCAAGCTGAATGATAGCAGCCTGAAAGCGATCATACAAAGCACGAGGGGATTGCTTCAAACTATATAGAGCATGTTGAAGACGATAAACCTGTCTAGAAGAATGAGGAAGGTCGGGGGGAGGACGCATGTAAATCAAAGTACGAACAGTAGTTATCTTGGCAATAGGGGTAAAGGTCTCCTCATAATTAATACCATACTCTTTGGAGAAACCTTTGGCAATCAGACGAGTTTTGTAGTGTTCAAGAGAACCATTCACGTCTTGACTTTATAGACCCATTTGCAACCAACCAGATTTTTGCCAGCAGGCAACGGAACTAGCTCCCAAGTAGTAGTCTTCTACAAAGCAGATAACTCGTCTTCCATAACTCAAACCCAATTAAGATTCTAACAGGCCTCCTTGTAAGATTGGAGTTTTGAAAAAGAGTGAATAACAGATAAAAAGATGCAGTATGAAGGAAAAAAAAATATGTTTTAGCAAAACCAAGTTTGACTACTTGTTTACGGATGCGAAGATGATACTTATGGTTAACAAGATTAGAATTGTCAGAAGTAGGGGGATCAGCAGCAGGGGTAGAGACAATTGGTGGAGGAGGAGCCTTGCAACGAGAATAGACTAACAACGGAGGTGGAGAAAGAGTAGGTGAGGGAAGATGAGGAGGAGAAGAGGAAACAAAGTCATGGGGGTCAGGGGAGAGGGACTCATCATATGGGTTGGGGGATAAGGAGAAGGTGGAACAAGCTCATTGGAAACAACAAAGATGTACTCACTAGGAGGGACCTCAAAAGGAAATAGATCAATATAAACCAAATCCAATCCTCTTTGGAAACTAGGGCTGTGAGATGAGGAAGTTGAAAGTAAGGTAGACGTTCAAGAAAGGCAACATGGCGGGAGACATATAGGCGACGAGAAACATGATCATAATAGCGATAACCTTTTTGAGTGAGACTGTAACCCAAAAAGACACACAAGATAGATCGAGCGTTCAGTTTGGTCCTATCTTTACGGGATAAAAGGACAAAACAAGCAGAACCAAATACACGAAGGAGGGAGTAATTGAGAAGTTGAGAAAACAGAGTCTCATAAGGAGACCAACCAGAGAGAAGGGGAGTAGGCATACGATTGAGAAGAAAAGCAACAATAAGAACAGCCTCACCCCAAAACGGGGCCGGAATAGAGGCATAGAGAATAAGAGACCTAGCCGTCTCAAAGAGATGACGATATTTACGTTCAGCACAACCATTTTGGGCAGGTGTATCAGTATAAGAAGTCTAGTGAATGGTATCTAAATTGGCCAAATACTAGCATAACTAAGTTTTAAAATATTCTTCATCCAAGTCAGACCGTAATAATTTAATAATAGATCCAAACTGTGTAGTGACCATAGACTGAAAAGTATGATATATCTAGTAGAAGTAAGACTTATGAGTCATAAGATAAATCTAAGTGTAATGAGTGCAGTCATCAACAAATGACATAGCGTATGCAGAATTCCCTTTAGTGAGAATAGGATCCCGGACACCAATATGAACTAAAGAAAACGGTGTATCAGATATAGAAGTACTTTTACGGAAAGGTAAGGCTGTCATTTTGGCAAGTTTATATTCCCGACATTCGTTAAGTTGACTAAGAGAAACTTCACCCAATATACATGATTGAACTAACGACCGTAGGCGGTCAGCAAACAAATGCCCTAATCTGAAATGCGACAAATAGAAAGGACTTGACAGAGAATCTAACTGAAAAGAGAAAAAGGCAGTCGAAGAGGTAGTCATAGGCAGATGCAAGCTCTCGACCACATAGAGGTCTCTAATTTTATGACCAGTCCCAATCTGCCGCGTAGACATCTGATCCTGCATAGAACAGGTAGAAAAAGAAAAGATAACGTCAAAACCAGAGGTATCAAGTTGATTGATAGATAATAAACTGACTGATAACTGTGGAACATATAAGATAGATGGAATAGAGACAGCAGACATAGCAGACGGTAGGACAAACCCAACAGATATAACAGACATATCAGACCCATTAGCAGCATTGACAGTAATAGGAATGGGAGGAGGAGTACAATTTTGGAGTAAGGAGGGATGAGGAGTCATATGATGAGAGACACCAAAGTCGAAAATTCAGACACACGAAGAGATACCTGAAGAAGACCTAAGTAAACCTGAATGAAGAGAGGGAGCAACTGAGGCAGATAGGGCACTCAAGGAAGCTAAGTCATGATCAAGAACCGGAGTGGATGTAGTATAAGCGGCGGGAGCCTAAAAATTACTCGGAGGTGAAAGGCAAAACTAGGTCTGAGATTGCTAAGAAGACGCGGCAGACAAACATTCCTTCTTAGGATAGTGATATTTCCAATGACCCTTATGATAGTAGAAGGCTCACTCATCTAAAGCTAGTGACCTATTTTCGAGCCTAACAATCTTATCATCGGACATTGTAATGAAAAAAAAGAAAAGAAAAGAGCTGATGGAACAAATTATAATAAATAAAAGAAACCTTGGGGGTTGTAATGTAATAAGCCTGAACCCTAGGGTGTTAAGTATAATACCCAAGCAAAGTCTAAGAACAGTAGTACTGTATCACATAACAAATCGAGGACTAGAGACAGTCTGAAGGAGATGAACCAGAGAGTCTGATACGAACAACCAAATTGAGAACCAAAGAGAGAGTTTGAACGAGAACCAGAATCTGAAGTCAAAGTCGAAAACGTATGAGTGCGAACACAATCGCGAACCAGAGGCAAATAGAGAGAGTTGCGATGCTGATGTTCATGTAGAAACTAGATGGGTCAACCACGAAGGAGAGCTAGAGAGAGAAGACGAGCTGCGAGGAGTCGACGGCTAGATGAGTCGAACCGCTGGATGGGTGCGACTACCAGATAGCACGAACATAGAGAGAATCCAGATGGGGTCAACTGAGACGAGGCACAATCATGAGCAGATGGGTCACGAACAGATGAGTGATGGGTCACACACCCAAGTCGAACTAGAATGAGCCTGAGAGAAGAAAGCACGAATACGAACAAGAGAGCAATGGTGACGACTCTAGGGCTTTGGATTAGAGAACGGCTTTGATATAATATAAGTTTTCTGAATGAAACTGTATATTCAATTGTGTACTAATACAAAGAATACATCTGATTATATAGTAAACTTAACCCTAAGACTAAAAGGAAATATTGCCATATATATACAACTGAAACACTGCTATATATATATGTATATACACCTATACAATCTCTCAAAAAAGGAAACACTACTATATATATAAATCTAACCTAATATTCTCACAGAGGATGCAACAGATTTGCCTTGACACCTCTTCCTTAGTTGTGAAGTAGCAGTACTACCAAAAAATTCTCTTATGTTCCAAAACGGTAAATTTAATTATCCAAATCGTTCCCAATTTTTTTTCAATATATTTCCTTTTATCAAATACAATGAATTAATATCTAGATTAGTGAAGTTTTGACATAACAGAACGTCAAAAATGGTCACAATGCTCATAGAAATGTGTTGCTATATAATTGATTTGAAAAAAGAAATTTACATTTTATTGAATGTCTAATTGTTAAAAAAAAAATTACTCTAGACTAGAAGTACCCTACATTTAATAGTGTAAACTATACAAATCTACCCCTATTGTACCACAATTTTGAGCATGTGGCGTACCGCATTCACGTTCCAATTCCATGTACTAAAATGATCCACATTCCAGGTAACATATTAAAGTAGTATATTTCTTAATTTATTGGATACCAACATGTGAGGAATTTTGTAAATTCCTAGTTCTATTCTTGGGGGAGTGGTTTATTGACACTTAGATGATTGACATGACTTATATAAGATGAAGAAGAGCTACAAGGGAGCTGACAAATGTATTAGGAGTTCGTGAAGGGATTGTGAACTTATGGTTTGGTATTTTGTCAAACTGGCAACATATTAGAAAAGGCCGTATGTAAACTAGGTATTTAGTTGAATCCTGTTCATATCACAGAAAGCTTCCACTGTGAAAACCAGAGAGTATGTTACATGCTTCAACAGTGTGGTACACCCTACATATAAGACACTTTTTTTTTTATTTTTTTAAATGTTTGGATTTTAGTTTTTGAACTGGAAGAAAGAACATATTCTGGAAACCTTGTAGGTAGGCAAGAAAAATAGAACAGTGATGAATCAAACCTACTCTCAGAGACTCAAATTTGGACCTACCCAAATTCGACTCAAAGTTGGACCTTACCCAAATCCGACTCAAACTTGGACCTATCAAATCCCACCCCACCCCCATACCAACTGAGCAAGGCACTTATAACCTTGGTGATCAGCACCAGAACAGTGCAAGGCATTTATCATGAAAGCCCTTATGCAAGTATACTTCTGTTGATTTATTTATCTGTTCTCAGTACTCTATTAAGGAACTTTCAAGAGGCTGTCACTATTAATGCCTCAACAACCCTTTGGATTATTATGGTTTCTATGATGTCCAAGTCATGTTTAGATCCTCAATAGTTGGACCTTGTAAAGATCATCAGGTCTTTATTCTGAACTACTTTTCTCTGTTTCCATGTAACTTTGTTATGATATTCTTCATGTTGAACCCCAGTGTTGATTTGTGGTAGATATTACAGATGAATTAGAAGGATAGAATTATACATTTATCTGATTACAAACCAAACCAAACCAAGCCTTAAGTACCATCAAATGGGATCGGCTACATGAATCTTTCTTTTCCACGCGGCCCTATCAAAGGCCATTTTGTTAGTCAAATTAAGTAGATTCATATCTCTATTTACAATGTTAGCCAACGTTAATCTAAGCCTACCCCGTTCCCTAACACTCCCTTCTACCGTTACAGCATCGCATCTCTTCACTACTGTCTCTATTGGTCTCCGTTGAATGTGACCAAATCATCTCAATCGATTCTCTCTCAACTTATCTTCTATCGGTGCTACTCTTATCCATTCCCGAATACACTCATTCCTAATTCTGTCTTGTCTAGTCTTGCTATACATCCACCTTAGCATCCTCATTTCAGCCACACTCATCTTATCTACATGTTGTTTCTTGGCTGCCCAACACTCCGTCCCATACAACATCGTTGGTCTAATAGTCATTCTATAAAACTTACCTTTTAGTCTAGTGGGTATTCGTTTATCACACAGCACCCCAGATGCACTTCTCCACTTACACCATCCCGTCTTAATTCTATGGGCCACATCCGCATCAATTTCCCCCGCTGTTGTGATAATCGACCCTAAATAACGAAAATGTTCACTCTTAGGCAATTCTTGGTTCTCAATCTTCACTTCTCCTCTGCTTTCATTGTTACTGTTACTGTTATTAAATTTACACTCCATGTACTCTATCTTGTTTCTGTTTATCCGGAAACCTTTAGATTCAAGAGCTTTTCTCCAAATCTCCAACTTTGTATTAACTCATTCTCTAGTCTCATCCACTAGCATGATATCGTCTGCAAAAAGTATACACCATGGCACGTTATCCTGAATATTTTCATAACTAAAGCAAAAAGATAAGGGCTTAAGGTAGATCATTGGTGTAATAGGAAATTCATTTGTCTCTCCGGCAGACGATCTAATAGTGGTTACCACCTCTTCACACATGTCCCTAATCACATCAATGTAACCTTTTGTCATTTCTTTCTTCTCTAGCACCCACCATATTATATCTCGGGGCACTCTATCATATGCTTTCTCAAGGTCGATAAACACCATATAAATGTCTCTTTTCTTTTCTCTATACTTTTCTATTACTCTCCTCAAAAGATAAACCGCTTCCATTGTTGACCTGCTGGGCATAAACCCAAATTGATTATTTGACACCTCTGTTATATCTCGCAATACGGCATTCCATCATCCTCTCCCACACTTTCATTATATGGCACATTAGCTTGATTCTTCTATAGTTATTGCAATTCTGGACATCTCCTTTATTCTTATATATTGGCACTAAAATATTCTTCCTCCACTTATCTGGCATGTTCCTAGTTAATAAAATTTTGTTAAACAACCTAGTCAACTAAGCAACCCCTTTTTTACCCAAGCACTTCCAAGGTTCAGTAGGAATATCATCGGGTCCTAAAGCCTTATTTGATTTTATCTTCTTAAGTGCAATCTTCACTTTAAAGTTCCTAATACTGCTATAAAACCTAGTCTTGGTTTATCGTATTACTAGCCATTTCTTCCCCTATTGCTGTATCTTCATGTTCCTCATTTAATAGTTTCTCAAAATAGTTCTTCCATTTTTCTTTAATCTCTTCATCATTCACTAATACCTTAGAATCCTCACTTTTGATGTACTTAACTTGATTAAAATCTCTTGTTTTCCTCTCCCGTATCTTAGCAAGTTTGTATATCCTCTTCTTTCCTTCTTTACTATTTAGTCTAATGTATAGGTCATCATAAGCTTTCAACTTAGCCTCTCTCACTACTTTTTTGACCTCCTTATTAGCTAATCCATAGCTCTTAAGGTTTTTCTCAGTTCTATCATTCTGCCACTTTTTAAAGCACTTTTTCTTTGCCTTAACTACCGCTTGAACCTCTTTCCACTACCACCAAGTTTCCCTAGCGCTGGGTCCCATCCCTTTTGACTCTCCAAACACTTCCCTTGAGATTCTCCTCATACAATTGGCTATCGAATTTCACATAGTGTTAGCATCATCTTCCAAGTACCAAGTATCAAGTACCAAGTACCAAGTACCTTCCTTATCCATTCTATTCTTAAATATTTTTAATTTATCCCCTTTTAGGTCCCATCATCTCATCCTACGACGCCCACCATCCTTCCTAGCTTGGTATTGCCCTTTAAAACATAAATCTAGTATCAAAATCCTATGTTGAGAGGTCAGGTCTCTCTACAGGAATCACCTTACAATCATTGCATTTTAGGTGGTCCACTTTCTCACTAAGAAGTAATCTATTTGGCTCTTAACTGACCACTCTTAAAAGTTATCGAATGCTCTTCCCTCTTTTTGTACATAGTATTGGCCACCACCAGGTCAGAAGCTAATGCAAAATCTAAAATACTCTCTCCAGTCTCATTTCTGTCACCACAACCGTATCTACTATGCACCCTTTCATAGCCTAGTTTATCTATGCCTACATGGCTATTAAAATCTCCACCTATAACTAGGTTCTCTCCTGTAAGATCTCATCCATTTGCTCCCAAAAATCCCTCTTAGTCTGATCATCTAATCCTACTTGAGAGGCGTATGCACTAATAACGTTCACTATATTCTCTCCAATAACTAGTTTAACTAACATAATCCTATCCTCCTTCCTAATGACCGCTACTACATTCTCCACCAGACCCTTGGCAATTATGATTCCTACGCCATTCCTGCACCTGTCCTTACCACTATAATACAGTTTAAAATCGGTATCCTCAATTTTCCTAGCTTTCTCACCCGTCCACTTAGTTTCTTGTAAGCAAGCTATACTAACTCTCCTCCTATTCATAACATCTACCAATTCCATCGTCTTACCAGTTAAGGTTCTTATATTCCAAGTGGCTATCCTAAACCTGTAGTCTTGGACTAACTTCTTTACCCGTGTTCGTCCAGAAAAACAAGGAAACACCCAGGCGTCGATGCGGCGCCCCTTGCTCACTTTTTGAAATATCCGAAGACAAGCGCAACGCGTTACAGGGTAACGGCTAAGCATTTAAACGATTCAAAGTAGGATTCATTTTCATAAGGGATCCGAACGGCTTTTTTTACGTGTTGGCTGTCGGCTACTTAACACACAACCTTCCTCCTTAACCCGGGCTTGGGACCGGCGGAGTTGTTAACAACCCTAACGGAGTTGTACATTTATCTGATTACAAAAAAAATAAAATAAAAATAATAGTCGGATAATTTCATATTATGTCAACTGCAGAGGTATATGTACAGTCGAAAATCTGTTAGAAAAGCCCACATGTCACGTTTGAAGTATAAGAGATTGAAATTGATTTATGATGGTAACAGATCCATGTGACATCTTTCCTGACTACTTGTGTGCTATATCTACAGTCCTGAAGGTAAACCTGTATTGCAAGACGGGCTTCCAGAAGTTGCAGCTAGCTTGTTAGCTACCTATGATAGTGGTGAACTCCTAGGTGCCCTTGAAGAAGGCCATGCTGGATGGCAGAAGTGGGTAAAGAGCTTTGGTAAATCACTGAAACGCAAGGTTTGTTCTAATTTAATAGGCTCATTCTAAAAAAAACACCACCTATTATTTCTTGGTTTCTTTTCTTTCTTTTTTTATTTAATTATTTTTCTTTCTTGTATTGATAACTTGAATTGCGCATTTACGTGGTCATGGGCAGGGAAAATCTCTATTCATGCCTCTTCGGGTGTTGCTAACGGGAAAGCTTCATGGCCCAGATATGGGGGCTAGTGTGCTTCTGCTCCACAAAGCTGGATCATCTAATGTGGTAGCTGCTCAAGCTGGGTTTGTCACGTTGGATGACAGGTTCAAAATGTTGAGAGAAATCAAATGGGAATCTTTTAACAGCGACCAAACTGTATTGGAGTCTGCTGCAGCTGTATCTAACTGAAGTTTCCAGTTGTTTTGTTTTTATTTTTTTTTGTTGTCTCTAGACTCTACCCAAGTTGAGTTACACGTGATGATTATTGATAGTAGTTGGTCGGTTAAGTTGTGTTATATGTAATACACGTTTGAAGTCGAACTCATTCCTATGTGATATACACGTTTGATTTGACTGTAGTTTGTTTTGAGCAAGCGCAAGTGCAAACATTTTGAAATGGCGTAGGGCATAGGGAATTGGACAGCTGTTGGTAATTACAGATGTCGACTTCTTGTATTGTATTACACAAAATTACATTCGTATTCCTGGAAAACTCTTTATGCCACTCTTTTGTTTTTATTGTATGTATTGTTTCGGGAAGTATATTTATATTTTATTCATTTGTAAGCAAAAAGGACACCCAAATCTACGAAAGCTTCTAAATTTCAGCATTTGCCTTGCTAATATATGCAAGCAGACTGTACTGTATCCCATCATAATTATTAAATGCAGAAAATAGACTTATTCTTATTATATATTCGAGTCTTTTATTGTGCATTATTATGTTATATGACCAATGCTATATATAGTTTATTTTATTACCTCATTTTTTTAACTCTTAAATACAAAGCAATATGGTTCACATTTATAAATACATATATGACTGATTCACTTGTGTCTTGGAGTAACAAAAACATGTAAAAAATATATGTATTATGTAGCTTTTATATATATATTATATGGGTCAATTTGGGAATATGATTGAAAGTTAAATTTTAACTTTTAATTTATTTTGGATCAGGCATTCCATCACCCTCTCCCACACTTTCATTATATGGCACATTAGCTTGATTCTTCTATAGTTATTGCAATTCTGGACATCTCATTTATTCTTATATATTGGCACTAAAATATTCTTCCTCCACTTATCTGACATGTTCCTAGTTAACAAAATTTTGTTAAACAACCTAGTCAACTAAGCAACCCCCTTTTTACCCAAGCACTTCCATGGTTCAGTAGGAATATCATCGGGTCCTAAAGCCTTATTTGATTTTATCTTCTTAAGTGCAATCTTCACTTTAAAGTTCCTAATACTGCTATAAAACCTAGTCTTGGTTTATCGTATTACTAGCCATTTCTTCCCCTATTGCTGTATCTTCATGTTCCTCATTTAATAGTTTCTCAAAATAGTTCTTCCATTTTTCTTTAATCTCTTCATCATTCACTAATACCTTAGAATCCTCACTTTTGATGTACTTAACTTGATTAAAATCTCTTGTTTTCCTCTCCCGTATCTTAGCAAGTTTGTATATCCTCTTCTTTCCTTCTTTACTATTTAGTCTAATGTATAGGTCATCATAAGCTTTCAACTTAGCCTCTCTCACTACTTTTTTGACCTCCTTATTAGCTAATCCATAGCTCTTAAGGTTTTTCTCAGTTCTATCATTCTGCCACTTTTTAAAGCACTATTTTTTTTTCTTTATTACCGCTTGAACCTCCTCCCTCCACCACAAAGTTTCCCTAAGGTTGGGTCCCTTTCCTTTTGATTCTCTAAGAACTTCCCTTGAGATTCTCTCCATACAATTGGCCATCGAGTTCCACATAGTGTTAGCATCATCTTCCAAGTCCCAAATACCTTCTTTATCCATTATTTTCTTAAATATTTCTAATTTATCTCCTTTTAGGTCCCAGCATCTTGTCCTGCAATGCCCACTATCTTTCCTAGCTTGGTATTGCCCCTACGACGCCCACCATCCTTCCTAGCTTGGTATTGCCCTTTAAAACATAAATCTAGTATCAAAATCCTATGTTGAGAGGTCAGGTCTCTCTCCAGGAATCACCTTACAATCATTGCATTTTAGGCGGTCCGCTTTCTCACTAAGAAGTAATCTATTTGGCTCTTAACTGACCCACTCTTAAAAGTTATCGAATGCTCTTCCCTCTTTTTGTACATAGCATTGGCTATCACCAGGTCAGAAGCCAATGCAAAATCTAAAATACTCTCTCCAGTCTCATTTCTGTCACCACAACCGTATCTACTATGCACCCTTTCATAGCCTAGTTTATTTATGCCTACATGGCTATTAAAATCTCCACCTATAACTAGGTTCTCTCCTGTAAGATCTCATCCATTTGCTCCCAAAAATCCCTCTTAGTCTGATCATCTAATCCTACTTGAGAGGCGTATGCACTAATAACGTTCACTATATTCTCTCCAATAACTAGTTTAACTAACAGAATCCTATCCTCTTTCCTAGTGACCGCTACTACATTCTCCACCAGACCCTTGGCAATTATGATTCTTACCCCATTCCTGCACCTGTCCTTACCACTATAATACAGTTTAAAACCGGTATCCTTAATTTCCCTAGCTTTCTCACCCGTCCACTTAGTTTCTTGTAAGCAAGCTATACTAACTCTCCTCCTAATCATAACATCTACCAATTCCATCGTCTTACCAGTTAAGGTTCTTATATTCCAAGTGGCTACCCTAAACCTGTAGTCTTGGACTAACTTTTTTACCCGTGTTCGTCTAGAAAAACAAGAAAACACCCAGGCGTCGATGCGGCGCCCCTTACTCACTTTTCGAAATATCCGGAGGCAAGCGCAACGTGTTACTTGAGGGTAACGGCCAAGCATTTAAACGATTCAAAGTAGGATTCATTTTCATAAGGGATTCGAATGGCTTTTTTTATGTGTTGGCTGTTGGCTACTTAACACACAGCCTTCCTCCTTAACACGGACTTGGGACCGGCGGAGTTGTTAACAATCCTGACAGAGTTGTACATTTATCTGATTACAAAAAAGTAAAATAAAAATAATAGTGGGATAATTTCATATTATGTCAACTGCAGAGGTATATGTACAGTCGAAAATCTGTTAGAAATGCCCACTTGTCACGTTTGAAGTATAAGAGATTGAAATTGATTTATGATGGTAACAGATCCATGTGACATCTTTCCTGACTATTTGTGTGCTATATCTACAGTCCTGAAGGTAAACCTGTATTGCAAGACGGGCTTCCAGAAGTTGCAGCTAGCTTGTTAGCTACCTATGATAGTGGTGAACTCCTAGGTGCCCTTGAAGAAGGCCATGCTGGATGGCAGAAGTGGGTAAAGAGCTTTGGTAAATCATTGAAACGCAAGGTTTGTTCTAATTTAATAGGCTCATTCTAAAAAAAACACCACCTATTATTTCTTGGTTTCTTTTCTTTCTTTTTTTATTTAATTATTTTTCTTTCTTGTATTGATAACTTGAATTGCGCATTTACGTGGTCATGGGCAGGGAAAATCTCTATTCATGCCTCTTCGGGTGTTGCTAACGGGAAAGCTTCATGGCCCAGATATGGGGGCTAGTGTGCTTCTGCTCCACAAAGCTGGATCATCTAATGTGGTAGCTGCTCAAGCTGGGTTTGTCACGTTGGATGACAGGTTCAAAATGTTGAGAGAAATCAAATGGGAATCTTTTAACAGCGACCAAACTGTATTGGAGTCTGCTGCAGCTGTATCTAACTGAAGTTTCCAGTTGTTTTGTTTTTATTTTTTTTTGTTGTCTCTAGACTCTACCCAAGTTGAGTTACACGTGATGATTATTGATAGTAGTTGGTCGGTTAAGTTGTGTTATATGTAATACACGTTTGAAGTCGAACTCATTCCTATGTGATATACACGTTTGATTTGACTGTAGTTTGTTTTGAGCAAGCGCAAGTGCAAACATTTTGAAATGGCGTAGGGCATAGGGAATTGGACAGCTGTTGGTAATTACAGATGTCGACTTCTTGTATTGTATTACACAAAATTACATTCGTATTCCTGGAAAACTCTTTATGCCACTCTTTTGTTTTTATTGTATGTATTGTTTCGGGAAGTATATTTATATTTTATTCATTTGTAAGCAAAAAGGACACCCAAATCTACGAAAGCTTCTAAATTTCAGCATTTGCCTTGCTAATATATGCAAGCAGACTGTACTGTATCCCATCATAATTATTAAATGCAGAAAATAGACTTATTCTTATTATATATTCGAGTCTTTTATTGTGCATTATTATGTTATATGACCAATGCTATATATAGTTTATTTTATTACCTCATTTTTTTAACTCTTAAATACAAAGCAATATGGTTCACATTTATAAATACATATATGACTGATTCACTTGTGTCTTGGAGTAACAAAAACATGTAAAAAATATATGTATTATGTAGCTTTTATATATATATTATATGGGTCAATTTGGGAATATGATTGAAAGTTAAATTTTAACTTTTAATTTATTTTGGATCATATTATCTCTCTAATTTTTTATATTTTTTTAAAAAAAAAAGAAAAGTTAAAAAAATGAAAAGACAGTTTTTAACCAATTGTGGTACAGTGTTATAATGTTATGTATGTATGGTTTATTAGGCTGATGACAAACAAACATGCATAATAGGTATTTATTAGTCCTAGGCCATGTTTGTTTGCGTCATGAAAAGTGGAATACAATGGGGATGTAACATCTGGGTTCCATAATATTTCTTATTCAGTGTTTTTGATTGCAGGATTGAAGCTGGGAAATATGTTTGGTTTAGTTTTGGAATTGTAATTCTCTCTTTGAAGTTGTGATTTGAGTATAGAATTGTGAGTTGAGTTTTGAAAGAGAAAATTTATTTAGTTATGAGTTTTGAAAAGAGTTTTTGAATTTTTAAAGTTTTTGGATTTATTTTTTTAAAATATTAAAAAATGTTTAAGAAAATTTTATTTTTTTATTTTAAATATATAATTTTCATTTAAATATTTTCAATTTTTTTATTTTAATCATTTATTATATTTTGTAAATATTTTAATTTTTAATTTTAATATTTTTAACTCAAAACACAACTTCACACTCAAATCGTAACCAAATACATAACTCAAAACTCAATTTAAAAATTATTTTCAAAACTCATAACTAAACACATAACTCAAAACTTCACGTTACTTTTAAAACTCTACACTCAAATTTGTTAACAATCCTGACAGAGTTGTACATTTATCTGATTACAAAAAAGTAAAATAAAAATAATAGTGGGATAATTTCATATTATGTCAACTGCAGAGGTATATGTACAGTCGAAAATCTGTTAGAAATGCCCACTTGTCACGTTTGAAGTATAAGAGATTGAAATTGATTTATGATGGTAACAGATCCATGTGACATCTTTCCTGACTACTTGTGTGCTATATCTACAGTCCTGAAGGTAAACCTGTATTGCAAGACGGGCTTCCAGAAGTTGCAGCTAGCTTGTTAGCTACCTATGATAGTGGTGAACTCCTAGGTGCCCTTGAAGAAGGCCATGCTGGATGGCAGAAGTGGGTAAAGAGCTTTGGTAAATCATTGAAACGCAAGGTTTGTTCTAATTTAATATTAAAACTGAATTCTAAAAATAATTTTAAAAAATAAAATAAGAAAATATTTTAATTTTTTTTTGTTTTAAAATAAAATTTTAAAAAGAGTTTGGTTTTAAATTTTGAATTTAGTTTTGAGTTATGTGTTTAGTTATGAGTTTTAAAATTAATTTTTAAATAAGTTTTCAGTAATTTTGAATTGTGTGTTTAATTGTGAATTTTAAAAAGTAATTTAAATATTTATCTTTAAAATTATAATTTCATAAACAAACCAAATACAGCCTAAATAATTTGTAAAAGCTTAGTGAGAGTCGTGACTCGTGACAGACTCGTGGGTGTATGAGAGACCATTTCTTCTCTTATTTACAATCGAACAACAACACAAGGCTGTAACTGTGGTCAAAATAATCATACACTATTTGTAGTATTCTTATTTTTATTTTTTTGGGGAAATTGATTCGAGCAAATGGCTTTATTTTAAAAATTAAATAAAAACAAAATATGCCAAGTGGAGGAGGACAAGGGGAGGGAAGGGGACCAGCCAATTCCAATGTAGTCAACGCTGACAACACATTGTGGTGGTGATGATGGGTGAATGCATGGGTAAGAGCATCTCAGGGGTTTTAAAAGGACATGACTTCTGTTCAGTTCTTAATCAGATTGGATCGTATTGTTAATTTGTGAGGGTTTATCACGGATTCTATTTTAATAATTTGAATTGTTCAATATGTAGAACTCGTCGAGTACTATACGCCTATAAAAAATCACGTTAATCGGATATCGATAGCTATATGATCAAATCAGTTTTGTATAAAAAAAAATAGACGGTGAATAAATTAACGGTTGACAAAAATCTGTTTTGATCACATAGCTATCGATATCCGATCAACGTGATTTTTTACCAGCTTATAGTACTCGACGAGTTCTACACATTGAACGGTTCAGATTATCAAAACGGGACCCGTGGTGGGCCTCCATGGGCCCAACAGCACGATCCAGTCCGATTAAGGACTGGACAGAAGCCATTCCCTTATAAAAATATGGTTAAAAATTAATTTTTTAATTATTTTTAGTTTTTTAGTTTTTTTTATGTGAGAGGGAAAGTAGATTAAAAGTTATAAAGTGACTTTTAACCTATTTCTTAAGATGAGTCTTAGTTAAATTTGTTTATTAAAATGTGTTTTATGATTAAAAAAAAATAAAATTAAATGTGAGATTTAATTGTGTGTTAAGATTTTGTTAATTTAAATAGTGAGTTTGTTGAGGTGTGGGTTAAGTATTTAAGGGATTTTTTTTAAGATTTCTGGTATTAAAAGTTTATAACATAAATGACACTCAATATTTTCATAACGTCTAAGGTCCCTCAACATTGATTTAGAGAAAATTCAACCTAGAGAATTTCTCTAGACTTCCCAGAGATTTTCTCTCCAGAGAAATTCTATCTAGAGAACTTTCTAGAGAATTTCTCTGTGTTTTTGACCAATTTTCTCTAGTTTGCTCATAATTTCACGTTAATCGGATATCGATAGCTATGTAATCAAATCAGTTTTGTATAAAAAAAATAGACGGTGAATAAATTAACGGTTGACAAAAATCTATTTTGATCACATAGCTATTGATATCCGATCAACGTGATTTTTTACAAGCTTATAGTACTCGACGAGTTCTATACATTGACGGTTCAGATTATCAAAACGGGACCCGTGGTGGGCCTTCACGGGCCCAACAGCACGATCCAGTCTGATTAAGGACTGGACAGAAGCCATTCCCTTATAAAAATATGGTTAAAAATTAATTTTTTAATTATTTTTAGTTTTTTTATGTGTGAGGGAAAGTAGATTAAAAGTTATAAAGTGACTTTTAACCTATTTCTTAAGATGAGTCTTAGTTAAATTTGTTTATTAAAATATGTTTTATGATTAAAAAAAAATAAAATTAAATGTGAGATTTAATTGTGTGTTAAGATTTTGTTAATTTAAATAGTGAGTTTGTTGAGGTGTGGGTTAAGTATTTAAGGGATTTTTTTTAAGATTTCTGGTATTAAAAGTTTATAACATAAATGACACTCAATATTTTCATAACGTCTAAGGTCCCTCAACATTGATTTAGAGAAAATTCAACCTAGAGAATTTCTCTAGACTTCCCAGAGATTTTCTCTCCAGAGAAATTCTATCTAGAGAACTTTCTAGAGAATTTCTCTGTGTTTTTGACCAATTTTCTCTTATTTGCTCGTAATTTTCTCTGTATTTTTTTTTATCAAATCACAAAAAATTGAACAACTACTATTTTTATTTTAACCAATTTTCTCTGAACTGTAAGACATTCAAACAACAACAACTCAGGGAAAATTGAACAAACACCATTTTTATTTTGACCAATTTTCTCTGAACTGTAAGATATTCAAAACACCAAAAGCAATGGATATCACAACACAACACTTGACCAGACTAGTAAATTTCACCAACAATGGTATGAAATTCATGGCTTGCTTCCTAATGATGATCATATCGTAAATGTTACTCATAAAAAACTTTAAAGCCTCATAAAATCCAAAAAGCTTGAATTCTTTGAGAAGTCCAGAAATTCTTTGGGTTCAAACCAGAGAAAATTTAATGAGAAAATTTAAAAACATTCAATTTTCTTTGAATTTTTCTGGTTTGAACTCAGAGAAATTTCAATTTCTCTGGGGTAATTTTCTCTGTGTTGTTGAACTTTCTTTGGTTTGAACTTAGAGAAATTTGAATTTTCTCTTGTTTGAATCAAAGAAATTGTTGATGTCTACAAGTCAGTCTACATTTCAAAAGATTAAAATGTAGAGAAGGAACTCCATAGATAGCTACATTAAAGAAAAACTTCAATTTTCAAAATTAAAATAGAAGATAACAAAGAGAGAACGGAAGAGAAATTCTCTACAGACTCACATACCAGCAAACTGTGTTGACCTTGGCATCTTCACCAAACTCACATACCAGCAAAGGGTTTTCTTCAGACTCACATCTATGTTGACCTTGACATTTGTGTTGAACATTTTCTTCAAAGGATTTTCAAACCCACATAACGGTGTCGGCGAGGAAGCTCTGGTCTCAATCTTCTATAGAAGAGCGTTGAATGAGATCGTCGATCTAGGGGTTCCAAAATCGTCCATTTGATTGAAGGTTTTGAGGGCATGATCGAACATTCTGGCGACGCCATAGGATCGAATGAGGCTAGAGAGGTAGGGTTCTTGGGTGATTTTAGGGTCGTTTTTATGGAATTCGATAAGGGTTTTGATGTTGGTCAAACGGCTAGACATTGCGAGGCGCTTGACGGTGAGGTCTTGGGCATAGCGAGAGGAGGCTGGAGAAGAGGTCGTGTAGTAATCGGAGAGGAGTTTAGATTGAGAGAGAGAGAGAGAGAGAGAGAGAGAGAGAGAGAAAAAAAAAAACTGAGGTTTGATTTGAGAGAGTCAAATTTCTTTGTGATATATGGGCGTGAGAGTTGAGAGACCTTAGATATTATAAAATAATATTGTGG